ACAAAGGTTGTTTAGGGAGCGAAGGCAGCAAAACGTCGCTGCCAGGAAAATCTGTGCTCGCTGGAGTAACGTCTTCAACATCGGACATAATTTTGAGGGCGTAGGGACGGTCGTAAGACGCGAATGAATATAAATGAGAACAACTCAAATATATAGCCTACCGCTAATGAAGCAACAGAACAGCATACCATGTAACACCCCAAAGAAAAGGTTACATAACCCATGATAAATACATATATCTTTGAATCATAATATCCTTCTAGATCAGAGGGTTCACTTTAATAGGAAATCTAATTGGTAAATCATGCGTCGCGCTTGCAAAATACTAATTCACGCATCAAAAAATGTGATGCCCAGTCCTGTATCATGTGACTCACAGCTACTTTTGGGCCATCACGCATCACGCAAAATCCTTTGCCACGCCCAGGTTAAGGCTGCTCGATTTTTTTTTCCTTCTTAAGAATTCTGCAAGAAATTTTTTTTTAACCAGAAACATATGCTCGATATTTTTTGGGGGATTTGCACAACCCCCCCATCAAAAATCAAATGGTCCACCCCTTACCTCGAACTCCAAATCATTTTCCCCTGCCGCGACATTGGACCCGCGACCGCGACTTTGGACTCGCGACCGCGACATTGGACCGGCGACCGCGACTTTCGACCCGCGACCGCGACATTGGACCCGCGACCGCGACTTTGGACCCGCGACCCGCGACCCGCGACTATTAGTCAAACTCCTGAAGACCGAATGGAAAGATTTTGCGCTCGGTATTCAAGTGGAGGAAATGGCACGATCAAATTACGTTCTGAAGAGTGGCTGAGAAACCAGCAGATTTGAAATGGTAATAGGCCATTCAAAATTGTTATAGGTTTTAAACAAAGTCAGGCGACCACGTCGCTGGAGTCCGATTTGTGTTTATTCACGAGAATGATCACAGACCGACTGGACGATAAGAAGTTCTGTTACCGGTTAATCATTACAAAAAACCAGATTCAACTTAATCTTTTTAAAATTAAAATACAAGATCTTTCTATCTTCCTTTTTTGTGGCTTTTTTGCCAGCTGCAGAAAAAAGGAACCCATTTGAGAGCATGCGCGCTATGGCAGACACTATCCTAACGGCAAACGTGAATTTGTAGCACGTGACCAAGTTTTTCCCTTAATTGTCGTTAACTGTTTATTACTTCAACTAAAAGATAAGTAGTTTCACGCCAGTTTTATACACAAGAATTGTTCTGAACAGTTTTATCTGCTTATTTTCTATTCTGAGAAATTCTCAACTTGAATGTGACGTTTCCCGTTTGGCGTAAAAGTGAATCTTAAACTCTCTACTGTCTAGCCTGTTCCAGGCGTTCGGATAGTGGAGTGGGGCGCGAAGGAAGAGAGCAAGAAAAAAACAAGGAGGAAAAGGAATGAACGCCTGTGACATTTGTTTTCAAAAGGTCATTTCGCCCACTTTGTCGGCTAGTAATCCGAACGTAATTTCCGGTGTTAAAAGTTTTCAATCAAGCAACGGGCGACAAACCGCACAGTTTACTGAATTAAAATAAATATGCCTCTTCCATCTTTTATATTTGCTCTCTGCAAACGAATATATCCCTTACCTCCAAAAATGAAAGAACTGGTAAGCGTTACTCGTTCCAGTTTCTCTACCGTTGATTTTAACTCAACAAATCATATACTAGCTGCTGTCGGTTTTTGCTGTTATTATTGAAATGCTGTTTCAATTTGTTTGTCAGTAAAAGCTTCAACGTGTAGCTTTGGAAGACGTGATAAGCGAATAGAGATCTCAAAAGTCAAAAGTACGTCCCGAGACCAGCACATTTGTTCCTTTTCACAAAATCGGCTTTCACAATATTCAGGTGAGTGTTTTGACAGCCAGCTGTCAGGAAATTCTAAATTTAGAGCTAAAGAAGCTGCATTTTCTTCTCTTCTATATACATTCACAGCCAATTCGTCCACGCTTCCCTACTGTTGTAGCAACTCCAACTCTGTTGAACTGTTGTGCTTGAGTAGCCGCCAAGGCGAAACGTCTTTAGCAGCGAGGAACAAGGCCAAAGTGAAACGGCTGTATTCCATATTTCCAATCAACGTATTGAACCTCTTAGTTCTGACAAGAGCTGTCAAAATAGACCAATCATCACGGGGTATACCAGAATCTGGTATACCTGAACGAGCTTTTGTTAAAAAGTCTTACAGGCGTTCCCTCGCTCTCACCCCTATCCCACCTCGTCGTTGTTGTTTTTTTTCTGCTCTGCACCGTCCCCACGATCTGAACGCCTGGACCAGGCTAGATATAACCTGAGATCAGGCTCTATTTTCGTTTCGCTTTGAAAATAACATCCCGGCAGGCAAGGTTAGCGGTAGCCGTTAGAGAGAATGTATGAGAACCGCTAAAATTGGGCCTGATCCCAGGTTAGCTAGATACTGTCCCGTTACTTTGGCATGACGCGTACAATCCTTTAATGCTGAAATAGCCAATAAAATAGAATTTTGACTTTGAGACCGCCCAAATAATACTCCAACATAAAGTCATACTCCGATAGATGAATAATATCGAACTAAAATTCAAATTCAAACAAAAGCTACTGAGCAGTACTTTCCGGTTGTACGGCCGTGGTCCAAAACAGTTGAGCCCGTGGATGCCGCCTTGTAGTGCGAGAGGAAGCCCTAGAGTGTGGAATTTCCGTTATTCGACTGTAACTGTGTCCTGGCTTGCGATCCATCCGCCATCCACAATGCGATTAGTCCCATTCCATTCTCGTAGTTATTTATATCGAGTGTGGAAGAGAGGAACCTAGGAACGAATGACCATAGTTCTGTCGTTTCATGGTGATAAATTTACTTACCGTAATAGTTGGCTCACACCAGGTGCAATATGTCCCGTGTTCTCGTAACAGGAGCCTCTGGTTTCCTTGCTATGCATGTTGTCAAACAACTACTCGATTCAGGTGAATACATCGTACGAGGAACAGTGCGAAGTCTTGCAAACGAGAAAAAGGTCAAACCCTTGAACGAGCTGTCTCCGGAAAACGCAAAATATCCACTCGAATTGGTCGAAGCAGATCTTACAAAGAAAGAAACTTGGGTCGAGTGAGTAATGTAGTCGCTAACTATACAACTAAGCATTTCTTTATATTTTCCTGTTGTTTGTGTTATGTCCTTTTCGTGCAGTTTATACCGGTTTTTTATGCAGATTATTGTAATATTCAATATCCCACATGAAATCAATCTTAATTTAATTTGCTGAGTCACACCACGCTATATTTTGTCGATGAAAATAACGGGTAAAATTAGTAAATTGTACTAGTCAAGTCTTCACAGGAAGTATTTTATAAAGTGTGAAAAATATGAAATAACAACGAAATACAAGAGTTTTGTAAAAATTCTACATACATAACCCCTGCGTTGTTGTTTACAAATTTTTATTTGCCGTTCTTTCATTCGTGCAGAAAATTTATGCTAAATTTTGTAATTACAATGAAATATGATATATTAGTGTACACAAAAGCCCGGGCACAAAAAGTTAAAAAACAACATTTTCTTTGTTTTCGCTCAGAAATCAAAACTATGTAAAGCAATATGTGGTCATATACGTATAAAGAAATAGAAAATTTTTTTCTTGGTTCGAGGCAGTTATGCAAACCTAAGAGAAAGTCGGGGGCAGTTATGCAAACCCTAGAGAAGGTCGGGAGTTTGCATAACTTTCAAAAATTATCCCAGTGAATTAGTTCTATCAGGAGAGAATGAGGGATTCTCGGTTCCATACAACAAAGGTATCTCGCGAAACCCGGCGGTGGCCAGAAGAGAGACCGGGAGTTCATACACGAGGTTTGTTACAAGAACAGGAAAGCCCCCGAGCACATACTTACTAAACTAGCCTGCGTGGCAGGCGTTCAACAGGGAAGAGGAAAGGAATTTGGGCTCACGAGCGCTGGCGGAGACAAGACAGGGGAAGAACGTGTTCCCTCCCTCCCCTCGCGCACCCTTTACGTTTTTCGCCCGCCTGAAGTCCCCTTCCTCTTCCTTTCTCAAACGCCTGTCTCCCAGGCTATTTCTTAACTAGTTCCAGAGAGAAATGGTTTCCCTGCTTCCCATTGGCTTGTCTCTTTGACCTCCGAAGCCGTTGTCACGAAGTTTGGGGTGGAGAAGGCGAGAGAACGGCTCGTTCTTCTCGGTGAAGTCATCGTGCGAAAGTGTATTCCAGTTCCAACTGGAACTCCAAGGGACTAGGATACTGACTACGGTAATAACATTAATTACATTACTTCCAGAGCAAAATGACTCGCTTGAAAGGTCCCGACACTTTGGATCTTCACTGTAGTCTTATAGCGCCTTCCAGCTATTTTATACCGTGTAACTGATCGTCTGTTCGTCACTGACAGGGCTGTTAAAGACTGTACCTATGTCATTCACGTGGCGTCACCCTTCCCAGCGCAGAATCCAAAAGATGAGATCCTTCACTATCCTGGGCGCCACCTGCCTTGTTTTTCGCACGAACTTCGAACACGGTTTTGGTTCCCACCTCACTTTTCTCAACACGAATGTTCGAGGACTGCTGCGATTTATTGTAAGAGTTGATCTTCATTTAGTCACCTATAAATAGTCCGTTTCCACTTTCCAGTGAACAGTGACACCAACTTAAGGCGTGGATACAGTGATTTGTACATAGGAGACCCAAGGGCCCGGCCTCGAGCTCCCTATGAGAGCTCTGAGCAACTATACCCCACTTTAGACCTGGCTAACTAATTTTTCATACGGCAACAATTATAAGACGTTATATGAGAGTTATTCTTTTCCCTTAGTAAATGAGCAAAATAGATTTCCTTTTTAAGTTTGCCTCAAACATTTTCGTGTGTTCATACGCTGATCCGCCTGGGTACATGGTTGAAAAACCGCCGCTGAAGAAAATGGTATTAAAAAGTGCCTAAGAGGCTTGAAACGCAGTGAGCACACAAATTAAGTTACATTTTTCCGCCGAAGCCTTAAAATTGTGTGTA